TTGACGTGTGAGGAATATTGATTTGGTTTTAAAATGTTTAGAGATTTAATCGTTCAAAATATAAAAGTTCATTGGTTTTTTCCCCAGATATTTTTCATTATTTTACCACATTAACCAGTTTTATAGATTATGAGGATGTATCTAATAGGTTTTAGAAAGTCTAAGAAGTTATTTAACATATTTTGGAATGTCCAATGTTGTCCAATGAATTAATCATTTCAAACATTAAAGTCCATTGGAATTTTTTTTAGACTTTTCCCTTTTTTAATTATGATTGATCCAATGGTAGAAATCCATTATTATCTTTCTTATCATAACTTTTCTAGTCATCGAACACAACCCAAATCAAACTTTTATGTTTTTTTTTCCTTTTCTGTACAAGTGATTGCTCATATTATTATTATATGTCTTTAAGTTTAATCAATATGACTCATGGAAGGTAATTGATGATGCTTCATGCCATTCGTATGTAAAAATTTCCAAATTTAAAGAAATTCCTAAAAATGATAAATATGTGAAGAAATAACTTTGAATTATATTCTTTCCAAATAAAAACTTTAAATTAAAATATTTAGGATAAAGAAATAATATTTTATTAAATATAAGAAATATTTTATTAAAAAAAATACTAGAAAGGTACTCGTGTGATGCATCGAGACACATTTTCATTTAATGTTTCGTTTTATTTTTTATCCACATCGATATAATACAATTTTATGTGGTTTTGAAAAAACGATAATGTTTTTATTTTTGAATAAAATATAAATTTGAAATATATCAATATTAATATCAAATTATCTAATTAAAAGTTATTGTTTGTTTATTTTTTTAATTCAAAATTTTTATTATAATTTAATTTAACGTAACGAATTAACTTAATTTAAGTTTAATAATATTTTTTTATAAAGATAATAAGTAAGTATTATGTTAGAACTCAATAATTATCCTAATTATATTTTAAAATGAAATGTTTATTCTCTATTTGATTATGTTTATCCATAGTTAGTTACACGAATTCAAACATAGATATTAATCTTCAATTAGGATTAATTCAAAGATGAAAATCAATTCTTATCATTTTCTTTATCAATAAAACACAACTTATAACGATCAAGCTTTTATGTTTTTTTTTTCCTTTTTTGTACAAGTGATTACTCGTATTTATTATAATCTTGTATTCTTTATTATACAGAAAATGAGTTCTTAATAACGACTGAAATTATGCTTTTATTTTTGGTAAAAGAAAACCATTTATTCTGAGATAAAACTTGAACAAAAGTATTATAAGAATATAATCATTATCTAAAAGAATCTCCAACAAAACTTTTATTTAATAAAGACTTTACATTTTTTTTCCAAAAATATCAACCATCATGTAAAATGGGAAAAAAACTGAGCAAATACATTTTTGGGAAGAAATCATCAAAATGAAATCTATATGTCTATATAAAGGAGAATCATCAAAAGATGACATGACATTTTAAAAGAATTAGAATTATTAGTTGCCATTTTTCTAATTTATGAATTATCTATACTATATTATAAACCATTTGACTAAAACTCTTAAAAACTCTTAAACTCTTAAAACTCTTAAACTCTTAATCTATACTATATTATAAAGCATTTGACTAAAACTCTTAAAAACTCTTAAACTCTTAAAACTCTTAAACTCTTAAAAACTCTTAAACCCGTTCATCCCTATCCGATTTCATCCCAT